AACAACAACAACAGTCCCTGTTTGGTGCAACCAATTAAGTGCTCAACTCTCATCAAAGGGTTGGTGGCCTGAAACCACCCAGAGGCACCTTGAAAGAAAGACCCGGAGATTGGCTTCTGGAATCCCACAACCTTGACAAGGCCTTGGAGCACAGTTCGCTCTGTATGCCCAGGGCCACCAGGAGCCAGAAGTGGCACTGCAGTAGCAGGCCTGATTTTGACTCTTGTCACCAGAAGCATGATTTTGAAAGTGTGTGATGTACTTGGGGAACTCTGGGACTGGAAATCAGGTTGTACTACAGAATTCATTCACAGAAGATGCCAGTGAGCATGTAACAAGGGGAATGTTGGGTCTCCTGAACAATCTGTTCATTAAAATTCCAAGATATCAGAGGTTTGAGGTGGTTCCCATATATTCCTGGAGGCCCTGGGTCATGCAAATGATTCATGTGCTTGGCTAGTAATGGAAAAATTGTCAGTCTGAGTCCACCAAGGGGCATCTTCCCCCAGACCAGCCACGGCTCTGCCTCTCACCTTGCGATCCAGGTTCAGCGGCTTCCCCAGGACTGGCAGGGTGATGAGCTTCTTGGTACCCTGGCTCCAGGTCCCCAAGAAGAAGTCTGCCAGGACACCATGTCGTTTGACTCCCTCAGGCCCTGATAGGTAGCGCTCACGGACCACCTCGGCCAGCTGTCTGTGGAGAGGGGACATGGACACATGGACTTGAGAAGCTGGCTTGTTCAGAGGCAGGCTCCTACTTCCTGGAGATGTTCCCCATGCTGGTAGCACCTGCAGGGAGCTCTGGTGGCTTGGTGAGAAGGAGTTGTGCTGCAACCCAAAGGCATGTGAACCCACAGGACAGAGATGGGCAATCTCCTCCCATGCAATTTACTGCCTCTGAAAACCTCCTGGAGGGTCAGCTATGGGTCACTTCTGAGTAGACAGTATAGAACAACAACCCTAATGACAGCTTCCCACTGGAGAAGGATGGGCAATCTCCTTCCATGCAATTTACAGCCTCTAAAAACCCACCGGAGGGTCAGCTATGCTCGGTTCGACTCTACTCAACAACAATGATAGGTATCTGCATGGTTTGTTTGTTTGTTCGCTGTTGTAAAAAGTATACATAACACAATGGAATTTTAAAAAGCCAATATTTTTCAGCTGTGCAACCACCACTCATAATTTCGTTGCCGAATTTCCCAGCCCCACAAGCAGAAGCTCACTGCTTCCCAGTTAATGACTCCCTTGCCCTCCAGCCTGTCAGTGCCTCATTACCTACTCGACAGCACATGACAACAACCTGGCACTTCTTCCCTACCTAACTCACCCAACCTTTTCCTCTTTCTTCTTCATAATGTATTTTTAAAAGGAATTTTTAATTCCTCTGTAACTTAATCATCAGTCAAAGTTATTGCTGTCATGTCAGAACTGACTTATACCTGTCACTCCAGGTTCTCTAAGCTGTAAATTGTACAAGAGGAGATTACCCTTCTTTTTCCTGTGGAGTCACAGGTGGATTTGAAGCGCAGGGAGGCACCTTTGAGGCTAGTGGTGTAACTCCCTTTGGATTACGCGCCGAGAATGCCTTCGATTAACCTCCTCCTCCTCCTCCTCCTCCTCCTCCTCCTCTTCTTCTTCTTCTGGATCGTCTAGTCAGAATCGACCCATACCTGACCCTCCAGCAGGTTTTCAGAGGCAGTTGAATCACAGGGGAGGCAATCTTTCACTCCACAGAGCCGCTGGTGCATTTGAACTGCATGCCTTTGGGATTGCAGTGCAGCTCCTTACCAGTAGGCTGCCAGAGCTCCCTTAGTTACCATACTATTATTTAGTAATTCCACTCCTAAGTGTAGAGTGTTGAATATACCACGGACTGCTAGGAGAACAAACAGATTTGTCCTGAAGAGGGTGAAGCCAGAATGCTTCTTGGAGTCAAGAATTCTGAAGCTTCATCTGACATACTTTGGGCATGTTGCAAGGAGGGACTGGTCCTTGGAGAGGGACATCATGTTTGAAAGAGTGGAGGGACGATGCAGGAGGGGAAAACCCTTGATGAGATGGATCAATTCTGTGAATGGAGTGGTGGGAATGAGTGTGTCTGAGATGTTGAGGTTGGCACATGATAGAACGGCGTTTCGTGCTTTTGTACATGGGGTCACTATGAGTCACAAGTGACTCAATGGCACTTAACAACAACAACAACAAGTGTATACTTAAGAAAGTGGAAGATGAGTATTTAAATGCAAACGTGTGTGCTGATGTTCAGAACAGCACCATTCACCACAGCTGAAACAACCTGTCCTCATTCCCAGACAAGTGGGTAAATTCAACCTGACTTACACACACAGTGGGATATTGAACTTCAAACCCTCTGCTGTGGAGTTGGTACCCGCACAAGACGGCCCTTCATTGGCTTTCCAAGCCTGTAAATCTTCAGGAGAGGAGAGTGCCTGTATTTCTCCTGTAGAGTGGCTGGTGGACTTAGCTGTTGGCCTCTTCGTGGGCAGCCCTATATATTAGGCACAATGCCACCAGGTATCATTAATGGAATATTACACATCCCTAATAATGTATCCCACACTGGTACATGCTTTGACATGGATAAACCTTGAAAACAGAATGTTGAGTGAAAGAAAAGATACTCAAAAGATCACATCTTATATTTTTCCACTTATCTGAAAGATCTTGAGTTGGCAGCGCCACAGAGACAGGACATCGATTAGTGGTTGCCTAGCGCTTAGCAGGAGCCTGAGGGGTGGTGTAATTGTATGTCTGGCTCCTAACTGAAAGGTCAGTGGTTCAAGTCCACTAGCCACTGTACAGGAAAAAGATGGGCAGTCTCTTCCCATTAAGATTTACAGCTTGAAAACCGCAATGGAAAGTCGTCTTGAGTAGAAATCGACTTAATCACCAGTGGTTAGGGGCTGGGAGAAGGGAGGATGGGAAGTGACTGGGAAGGAGTATTGAATATCTTTTGGGTGATGAGAATATTCTAAAAGTCAACAGAAATGCACTGCAGAAGCCCTGAATGAATTACTTGCTGCAGAATGGTGGCATTTTGCGTGGTACATGGTTAATTACATGTTACAGGAATTTTGTCATTTTTAGTAAGTACTGGTGCTGAAGCAGGTGATATGGAAACTCTAGAATCCTCCATCCTGTGGACAGGGGACACTGGGGAGTCTGGACCAGTCAGTGGGTCCTTGCTCTCAAGCTCCCCCTACCGGTGATGAGCGGCGCTGGCCTACCTGTAGGTGAGGGCCAGCAGCATGGAGCCGTCCATGGGCCGCCGGGACAAGCAGGTGCCCAGATCTCGCCGGAGCCTCACCCACAGCAGCGGCGGGAAGCGGAGCAGCTCCTTGCTGGGCGGCGTCCAGTCCTGGTACACGACCTGCAGGACCTCATCGTCCAAGGACAGGACATCCTTCAGCTCCGCCTCTGAGAGCCCATGTCTGCGAGGGGTGGATAGCACGTTGATCCCCCAGGCTTGTGTCCTCTGCCCACGGGGGAGGCAGGGGCTGAGGTAGGCTAGAGGCACAGCAAGCCTCCCTGCACCCAAAGTAAACTCACTGCACTTTAAAAAGGAAACATTGGAGCATCCCTGGGTAGCAGAGATGAGCAACCCTTAGTCACGAACCGAAAGGCACCACCATGGAGGAAAAAGGCTTGGCAATTGACTTGCCCAAAAATTAAAGCCAAGAAGGAAAAAAAAAAGAAAAGAAGGAAATTTATAGAATTAGCCTGTTGTCGTTATGTGCCATTGAGTCGACTCTTGACTCATAGCGACCCTATGCACAACAGCTCTGGAACCCTGCTTCTATCCTGAGCCAATTTCACTGTCTCTGACACACCTACCCCCATTACCCTAGTCACTGAGTCAATCTATCTCATCCAAGGTCTTCCTTTCTTGCGCTTTCCCTCCACCCTTCAAAACCTGATGTCCCATTCCAAGGACTGGTCCCTTCTGGCAACATGCCCAAAGTATGTGAGGCAGAGCTTCAGAATCCTTCCCCCCAAGGAGCAGCCTGGTTTCACCCTCTCTAGGATGAAACTGTCTGTTCTCCTAGCAGTCCATTGTATATTCAACACTCTTCTCCAGCACCAGAGCGCAAAGGCATTGATTCTTCGTCTAACATCCTTAGCCATTGTTCAGCTCTCTGATGCATTAGACCATGGCCTGGATCAGGCACACCTTAGTCTCTAGACTGATATCATTGCTCTTCAGTACTCTAGCGAGGTCCCTGACAGCAGATTTTCCCAATGCAATTAATCTTTTGATTTCCTGGCTGCTGGTGTGAGTTATCTTTAAGCCAGTTCTGACTCACAGTGTTCCCATGTGTGTCAGAGTAGAACTGTCTCATGAGTTTTCAGTGATAGATTTTTTCAGGAAACAGAACATCAGGTCTGTCTTCTGAGGCACCTCTAGGTGCACCCTAATATTTTGGCTTGTCATCAAGAGCATAATCAATTCGTGCCACCCAGGGACTTCAAGAGTTCCATAGCACTCCTGGGAATCAGCATTTGGACAGTGCTCAGATTCAGCAATGGCAAATCTACTGTCAAAGGTCTCTTTGATGTTCTACAGAGCAAGGATGCCACTTTACAAACTAAGGTGTGCTTGACCCAAACCAAAATGTATGCAAATGAAAGCTGGAGAATAAATAAGAAAGACTGAAGAAGAATAGATGGCTTTGAGTCGTGATGTTGGCAAAGAGTAGTGACTCTACTTTTGGACCACCCAACAAACAAACCAGTCTGCCTTGGAAGAAGTGCAGGGATGGTGCTCCTTAGAAGCAAGGAGGGGGGATTCTGTGTCACATATTTTGGACCCATTATCAGGAGGAGTAGTCCTTCGAAAAGGAAATCATGCTTGGAAGAGTAGAAGGTCAGTGAAGGAACAGAAGATCCTCAACAAGATGGATGGACATAATGTCTGCTGCTGTGACCCGACATATAACAGAGATTGTGAAGATGGTGAGGGATTGGGTACAGTTTTCATCTGTTGTAACTGAGTCAGCCTCAATGGCACCTAAACAACACCTAAACAACAACACTAACAGGTCTAAACAGGCACTGGAGTCAGCTGTGCCCTTTCCTTCTGCATGTGTGCGCACACACACACACACACACACACACGCGCGCGTGCGCGCACGCCGGACAGGGAGCCACCCCTCCTCAGCATCAGCAGAGTCTGGGATTGCAAACAGAGAGATGGGGTGACTCATGGAAAATGGAGTAGAATCCTGCCCCAACCCACCCTGTTTCCTGGCCTGAAAATAGTTGAGTCAGAAAAAGAGAAGGTCCTTCCAGGGAATGGTATCTTCTTTCCCTGGAGCTGGTTTAAAGAATTGACATTGCTTCACAGTTCTGGGGGCTGGAGGTCGAAATTGGGGTCTTGGCTGGATCCATTCCTTCTTTGTCCCTAGTCCCTGGCATTCCTGGAGTCCCTGGAGTATAGATGTTTCACAGGGCATCTATCTTTCCCACTTGTGCATATCTCTGTGTCTAATCTGCTTCCCCTCCATCCCCATAATTCAGAAGTGATGACGTTTAAGACCTACCTGATACTCATCTGACTCCATTCACATCACAAAGAACATTTTATTACCAGACAGGATCATATCCATAGAGAGGTGAGAACTCTCTTCTTCCCCATACTGGTGGGGAACACAAGCCAGCCTATAACAAGGAGTAACTGAAGTTTGGACGCTGGAACAGAATGATGTTGGTAGGCACCACTGAGTTGATGATGTCTCATAGCGACCTTGTGAACAACAGCTCGGAACCTGGCTCTATGTTGCGTGTGTACTGGAATGAACTTCCTAATAATTGTTAATCTGGGGCAGGAAAATTCAGAATTTATCTGCGATTCCGTCAAGGCTGGCAAACAATTAGATGGAGGTCATTTCAGAGCAAGGGTGAGGGTGAGGCTGTTGGTGACTGGCACCTCATGGAGGCCAACTCCATCTGTAACATGCCGGCACATTTGCAAACAAGTGTTTGTGGAGCGTCATCCGGGTGCTGGGACTTAGGGACAGAAAAATTGATCTTCTAGTTTAGGAAGCCAGGAAGGACATGGCAGAAATGAAACACAAAAAAAGGCCTGTCTGTGCCAGCTACCAAGGGAGAAAATAAAACAGAAGACATGAGAGAGTGGGGAGGTAAGGAGCTGAGAGAGAGGCTGTTCAGAACAAGCAGTCTTCTCTGAGAAAGTGCCTTCCAGAGATCTGAGAGGAGAGAACTTGACAGTAGCTAACAACGCTTTTATAAAGCGAGCTTGAGTGGTTTCTGTTCTTGGAAAATCAGCTCATAACAAGAGGCCTTACAGATCACATTATCTTGAATAATATTTGGCAATAGACAATGAGCTGAAAATGACACCGACTGAGAGGGGGAAATCCTGCCCCCAAGAAGGAAAGGGAAGAAATGACATGGTCCATGCATCTCAGGGCCTGCCTGGCATTTTCAGATAGCCTGGAATGGTAAAAGGCCCTCTTGGAGAGGGGGGCCTGGCTGCTCCCAGTCTGATTAAAGCGCTCAGTGAGGCCTTTCATTATTTTTGACTACCTGTCCACACACAGCATTTTAGAGCAGTTGGCTCCTGATGGTCATGGTCCAGGCTTATTGGATTCTGCAGCCTGGAGCGTGGTATGTGAGAGTTCTGATTCTATACTGTCTGGTTGCTTTTGACTTGGCCCTGATTCACGACAAGCCCAAGCACAATGGAACAGAACACTGCTTGATCCTGTACCGTCCTCACCATCAGTTACGGGCTGGACCACTGTGATCCAGAGGGGCTTTAGTGGCTGGGTTTTGGAAGTCAAACAACGAATGGTTCTGAGTCTTTCTTGGTCTAGCAGCTCCATGGAAACCTGTTCAGTAATACACAAGCCTTCACTGATGACTGGGCACGGGGTACACTGACTGAGCATTGAACCCGGGTATCGAACCCGGGTCTCCCACATGGAAGGAGAGTTCTCTTACTGAACTCAACAGACACTTTGAAACGGCTTTTTGTTTTTGTAAGTGCTGGTTCTTTTTAAACAGAGAGGTTTGCTTTAAAAAGACTTTCTGAGCTGTGCCCACGTGTGGCTTATTAATTAACTGGTTACCAAGTCAATTCCCACCTGAGGCCACGCCGTATGTACAAAATAGAAATGCAGCCTATGGAATGTCCATGGCTGTGATTTTTCAGAGGCAGATTCCAGGCCTCTCTTCCAAGGAGCATCTGGGTGCATTTGAACAATCAACCTTTCAGTTAGCAGTCATGGCTTAACTGTTAGCACCACTCAGGGTCGCTTGCTTATTAAACACAAAGGGGAAACTTGCTATTTTAGATGCAGGGACGTGCTGGCAGGACCACAGGTGTGGTCTCTGAAGTGAGAGCATCAACATTGCAGAGACATGGGAACATGTGCAGGATCTCAGGGACCCCGTAGACCTCACATCAGAATCAGTATCTAAAACAAGACCCAAGGTGCACGTATACCCATCATTCCATGAACACAAAAGTCAAACCTCTCTGGTGGTTCAAATCCTTCAGCAGGGCTGTGGGAAACTAGCAACCGTTTCCTGTGTCATTTACAGCCTCAGAAACCCAGTGGAGGGTCAGCCGTGAGTTGGCTCTGAGTGGATGGCAATGAGGGTTGTTTTTAGTTTGCAAATAGGTGTTAAATTCCTGTCTCTTGTAACTATAGACGAGTGCTGGTGGCACAGTGGTTTAGCATTAGGCTGTGAACCAAAAAGTCAAAAGTTCGAACCCAACAGTCAAGGAAATCCTATGGCAGTTCTGCATTGTCCTGTTAGGGTGTTGATGAGTCGGGATTGACTGTTGGCTGTGGGTTTGGGTTTGGTTTCTATCTGTGGATGTGATAGTCTTGTTTGAAATATGATTTGTTGTTCCTGTTCTATTTAGAGTTCACGTCAGTATGCGGTGAGTCCTAAGCCTCGTCACTTCTAAGTTATTAAAAAGACTAGAATAAGGGGAGCTCTGGTGGCCTAGTGGTAAGGAGCTGCAACTACAATCCCAGAGGCCCACGGTTCAAATCCACCAGATGCTCTGCCAGGGAGGAGGGACAATCTCCTCCTGTACCAGTCAGATTTGATTTGACGGTACACTCACACAAAAATAATTTAAAAAATAAAAAAAAGACTAGAATACACACACACACACACACACACACCCCTACACAGGCATGTGCATGCTGCAAAGATACCAAGCCATACAAGGAACACCAGGAATTCTGAAGAGTTCCAAGAATGCCAAGGAACTCTAAGGAACCCCAAGGATCATCGTCAGACACCAGTAACCGAGGACTCCATACGTGGAATAAACACGGCCTGCCCTCTGATTTGGACCTGTAGACTCCAGGACTGTGGGGGGGGGGGAATAAAATTCTGTTCTTGAAAGCTCCCACTTGTGGTATTTTGTCATGGCAACCCTAGGAAACTGGGACAACATTAGAGTTTGAGGAGCCCTAATCCACAAACTAACTGGCTTGGAGTTTTCAAGAAACAAGGACAGACGTGAGGATGTTCCAAGATTAAGGAAGCCAAAAAGACTTGGCAACTAAATGCCATGAGAGATCCTGAATTGGATCCTGGATGGGAGAGAAAATAGCCGTCAAGGACATTGCTGGGACAACTAATGCATTTTGAATATGCACTTCAATGTTTTATTTCCCACCTTCTATAAATGTACTGTGGCTTTTCCTTAAAACAAAAAAAAAGCTTAAACTATTTGAGTATGTGGCGACGCCTATGATGAATCCTCCAACGGTTTAGGAAAATATTATATATGCATACGCATGCATTTTTTAAAAATCTTGGAACAGATTAAGGAAGCCAAAGTGACTTGGCAACTAAATGCCATGATTGATCCTGAATTGGATGCTGGATGGGAGAGAAAATAACCATAATGGGTCCACAACTAACAATCTTAGCGTCAGCAGTCAGGAAATCAAAAGACAAATTGCATTAGGAAAATCTGCTGTGAGAAACCTTTCCAGAGTAATGAAAAGCAACGATGTCAGTCTAAGGTGTGCCTGATCCAGGCCATGGTCTTTGCAATTACTTGCTATCCATCAGCTGCTCTGCAAGAGAAGAATGGGCAATCTCCTCCTGTGGATTAACTGCCTCTGAAAACCTGTCAGAGGATCAGATATGGGTCAAGTCAGTTCTGACTCAATGGTACACAACAGCAGCATGTATATATGCATGTACATACATGCATATATGTGTGTATAAATATACATATGTGTATGAATACAGTGTGTGTGTATAAATATACATATGTGTATTGGGATGCTTCGCCAACAGTGATTCTGCCCAGGGGACACTGCCAATGTCTGGAGATGCAGATTTTTTTGTGTGTGGTTTTCACTAGCAGAGCAGGAGTTCTACATGCATTAGGTGGACAGAGGCCAGGGATGCTGTTCAGTACTCTGCAAAGTTGAGGGCTGTCCCACCACAGATAATGATCTGACCCCAAATGTCAACAGTGTCAGAGCTGAGAAACACTGCGGTACGGGAAATTCTTTGCACTGTTCTTGCAATTTTGAACAATATTGATCTTCAGGTTTTTAAAAATCTCTTTTGCTTCTGCCACTTATTTTTCCCTGTGACAAAATGGGGGGGGAGTTTAAAACAAAATGAATATTATAGGCAAATCCATACAGACAGAGCACATTAGTGGTTGCTAGGACTGGGGAGGGAGAAATGAAGAATATTGAAGAGTGAATTGTGTCCCCCTAAAATATATGCCAACTAGCCTGGCCCATGATTGCATTGTGCAATTATTCTTCCATAGATTTAGCCTTTGTGTTTATGAGGCAGGATTAGAAGTTCATGAGGCAGAAATGAATCTGTAGAATTCGGCAGGACTGTGAATCAATCTCCTTCAAGACATAAAGAGATCAAATAAGGAAGCAGAAATCAGAAGGAACTACCACCACCAAGAAAGAAGACACAAGAAAGGACCAGGCCCCTTGGACCGGGGTCCCTGCACTGAGAACCTGTAGACCCAGGGGAAGGCTGAGGTCAAGACATCTGGAGAAATACTGGCTCCTAGGAACAGTAGGCCACAGATGTTGAAGGGAGACAAGGACCTTCCCCCTGAGCCAATAGAGGGAACGCTGTCCCTCAGAGCTGGTGCCTTGGATTTGGACTTCCGGTCTCCTGCACTGTGACAGAATAAATCTCTGCTTGTTAAAGCCATCACTCGTGGTACCTCTGTTACACATCACTGGATAACTAAGATAGGGAGAGACCACTGACAGGTGCTCTTTTGGGGAGATGAGAATATTCTGGAGATAGGGGTGAGGAAATTATTGACTTGTATCCCTCAAAAGAATAAATTTTATGCTGTATAAATTATACTGGAGTCAGCAGTAGGTCCTCAAACTTAGGTCAACCCAGAAGCTGTAAATAAGACTTGACTTGGTAAGGTGTTTGCAGATGTAATTCAGGTAAGATGAGGCCTAGATCCTAGAACTCACGACCTCATAGGAAGAGGACAGTCAGAGACACAGAGGGAAGACAGCTGGCAAAGATGGGAGCTAAAACAAGGAACTCACGCAATATTATTAAAAATGGGTGACCCTGGAGGAAATATCTCAGTCACAAAATGACAAATACTGCATAGTGCCACTGTTATAAAACAGAACTTACATTGGGGTTGGAGGGAGACTGAGAATGATGGGATAAATAATGTTTACTGTATTGAAACAGATAAGGGAGAAACTGTTTAAAAGGGATATGTGATTAGGTATTATTGTCATGACAGGAGTCCAGAGTGAAGGCTGCATAGTGGAGTGGCCCTGGGGGGAGGGATTGTAAAACAATGAAAGAATTTTTCTTTTACTTTTAAAAGAGAAGAGTGTACTGAGGGGGAGGGCTGGGTAGGGAGAAAAGTGCAACAATGAGTGAATGGAAATCCAAACTCTCTGTAAATTTTCATTAAAATTAATAATAATAAAAATATTTTTTAAAAAGATGGGAGCAGATTAGAGTAACACATCTATATATCAAGAAAAGCCAAAGATTGCCAGAAGCAACCAGGTGCTGGAAGATTCTCCTCCAGAACCTTAAGAGAAACCATGGACCTGCCTTGATTGGAAAGTTCTAGACTCTAGATTGGTAAGAGAGTGTATTTTTCTCTTATTTAGATCCAACCCAATTGTTACTGAGTCCACACTGGCTTGGGGTCCACAGTGACCCCATGTGTGTCTGAATAGAACTGTGCTCCACTGGGTTTTTAATGGCTGACTTTTTGGAAGTAAGTTGCCAGGCCTTTCTGCCGAGGTGCCTCTGGGGGAACTCAAACATCCAACCTTTCCGTCGGCAGCCAAGTGCTTAACTACTTGCACCACTCAGGGATCCCCACGTCAACCTCTCAGATTCCCCAGCTTTGTTATGTCAGCTGTAGGCAGCACATGCATGAATTCTATCTCGAAGCCTTTAAATACGAGGAAATGAAAACAGAGACTCACCGGGAAGCCACGATGTAGCCCAGCACGTGGGCCACCAGGAGCTGGCCGTGCGTCTGCTCCAGGCGGGCACACAGCTGGTGTGTGGCCTCCTGGGCGGTGGAGGCCAGAGGGGTAGGCATGAAGAAGGAGGCCCACTTGCGGGCCTCCTCAAAGGCCAGCCTCAGGCGGCCCGGGTGGCCACACTCAGGGAGGCTGGCCCACAGCAGGTCCCGCTGGGCCTGGCTCAGTGTCCTCCGCGCGGCCACCAGCAGCAGCCCAATCATCTCTTGCCCTTGGTTGGCTGAGAGGGGCTTCACCTCTAAGTAGGCCCCGGGGTCTGGGAGCGTCTGCCGCACTGCGTCCAGCACCCCCTGCTGCTGCCCTGAGCAGGCAGAGAGGATGAGGTGGACCCTTGGGGGACACTGTGCAGGCAGCCAGGGGACCCTGCGGGCATGCTGGACAATGTCCAGGTCATCCAGGGAGTCCAGGAGGATGACAAGGGCCTCAAAGTTTCTGCGGGACACAGTGTGGAGGAGGTCGTGGAAGAACTGGATCACCCTGGTGTGGGCCTCCAGGACCTGGGCGGGAGGCAGGGGCAGCCCGAAGGCCAGGCAGATCTGGAAGCAGACGCTCCGGAGCAGGCCACGGGCATCGACGCTCATCTGCGAGGTGCCCAGGAGCCGCAGGACTGTCACCGTCTTGTGGCCCAGCAGCCCGGGCACTTGCTCGGCCAGTTTACACATGAGCGCAGTCTTTCCAATGCCCGGGGGTCCATAGAGCACCAGCGGGCTGTGGGGGGCGCTGTGATTCTGCCGGAGCCGCTGGCCGAGCTGAGCCAGGAGCTCCCTGCGGCCACAGAAAGCCCGCGTGGCCTCGGCACCCTGGGCCAGGTGGTGACGGATGTCTTGGAACAGCCAGGCCAGGTCCTGAGTGGCCACCTCCAGCTCCCGGAGCCTCTCCAGAACCTGGTGGTTGGCCCTGGCTACGAACTGCTCCCCCAGCTCCTTCAGGTACCTGGCGTGGACCTTGTTCTTGGGGTTCACCAGGTCGCGGCTCCACGGCAGGTGATGGGTCTTGAGGGCACTGGGGTGCTCTTCGGAGATGCGCCCCTTGAGGCTGCTGAGGAGGTTCTGGGCGTCCGTGTCCAGGCAGCCATCTGGCAGCCGGTCCACCAGCCGCAGGGCGCAGTCGTCCAGGATGTGTTTGTTGAGGTCCTGGATCTCACGCAGGTAGATGGTCGTCCGCTGGTCCCCGTCCTCCGCGCTTAGCAGACCGTGGCCAATCTCCCACTCAATCACTGCCAGTCAAGAGGGTGAAACGGAACAGATGCTCAATACCCTTAGTGATACAAGCAAAGCAAAACAAGGCGCCCTGCCGTCAAGTTAACTCTGAATCATGGCGACCCAAGTGTGTTGGAGTAAAACTTCCACAGATTTCTTCCCCCCCCACAAAGGCAGATTTTCCAATAGTAGATCACCAGGCCTTTCTTCCAAGGCACCTCAGAGTGGATTTGTATTTCCAGACTTTCTGTTAGCAGCCAACCAGTCTCTCCATTTGCACTTTTCAGGGATTCCCTATTAATAATTAACTCACTGCCTAGCAGTCAATTCAACCCACTGTGGTGCTGCTGGACAGACTAGAACTGCCCCATCGGGGGTCCAAGGCTGTAAATCGCTTCAGAAGCTGGCTGCCACATCTTTCTCCTGCAGGTTGACTGGTGGTTCGAAATGTCAAGCTTCTGGTTAGCAGCCAGTCTCTTAAGCACCTTGCCACCAGCTGTTAGGCACTGTCAAGTTGCCTCCAAGTCTTAATTATCCTGGTGCAACAGAAGGAAACCCTATGCCAGGCCTATGCCACCCTTACCACCTCTGCTGAGCTCAAGCCCTGGGCTGCAGACACTCTATCAACCCATCTTACTGAGGATTTTCCTCTCTTTCACTGACTTTCTCATTTTCTTAACATCATACCTTTTTCCTAGGACTGGCCACTCCTAACAACAAGCCCAAAGCAGGGGAGATGAAGTCTCACACCCTTGCTTTGAAGGAACACTGGTTGTGCTTCCTCCAAGATAGATTTGTTAGGAGTTAAAAAAGGAAAGAGGGGGGAACACTCCAACAATCCATTATCCTGGATTGAGTTCTGGCTTGTAGTCACCCTCCACTGGCTTCCAAAGCTATAAATCTTTGCAGGAGGTCTCCCATCTTCCTTCCATGGGACAGCTGGTGGATTTGAACCCAGTACCTTTGGGTTAGGAGTGCAACTCCTCACCACTAGCCAACAGAGCTCGATACCTGCTACAAAGTGGATAACCCTTGAAAATCTTATGCTGGGTGACAAAAGTAGATTCCCAAAGGATAATCATACAATTATTCTTAATTGAAGTGACAATAATAATTGTAAAATTTCTTTTATGTGAAATGTCTGGAACAGGCAAATCCCAAGGTGAAAAGGCAGTCAGAGTCAGAGTCCCTGGGCAGTACAAATGGTTAACATGCTTGGCTGCTGATGAAATGGGTGGAAGTTCAAGTCCACCCAGAAAGCGCCTCAGAAGAAAGGCCTGGCTATCTACTTCCACAAAGTCACTATTGGAAATCCCATGGAGCACACTTCTAGTCAGATGCACATGGTGCCACCATGAATCAGAGTCAACCCCAGGGCAACGTGTTTTACAAAGAAGATTACAAAGAAGACTAGCTGGTTAAAGAATTCAACTGCTAACCAAAAAGTTAGTAGTTCAAACCTACCAATTGCCACATCGGAAGACATGGCAGTCTGCTTCTGTGAAGATTAACATCCGTGGAAACCCTACAGGGCGATTCTACTCAGTTATATGGGGTCACTGTGGCCTAGTGGCAAGAAGCTGCGCTGCAATCCTGAAGGCACACAGTTCGAATCCACCAGCTGCTCTGCAGGAGAAGGATGGGCAATCTCCTCCTACGGGATTCACTTTCTCTGAAAACCCGCTGGAGGGATAGCTGTGGGTTGGTTCTGACTTGACCGTATACAACAACAGCATGAGTCAGAAGCAAGTTATGGCAATGGGTTTTGAGTTGAGGGGAGAGGAGGAGAAATGTGAGTGATTGATTGCTTAATGGGTCTGGCGTTTCCTCTTGGAGCAGTGAGGATGTTCTGGAAATAGGTGAAGGTGCTGGTGGCACAACAATGTGAATATAACAAAAATCACTGAATTTGTACTTCTCAGTGGTAACTCTTACGCTGTGCAAATGTCACCTCAATTAATAATAAAAGCCAACACCATCAATTTGGAGTGTCTTCCTCATTCGTTCAACAAATGTTTATTGAGCTGCTCTGGTGCCCAATTCTGCTCTTGATACTGAGAAACAAGCAGTGATGAAAACACAGCCGCTCTGCTCCTGTGGACTGTTTACAGTCTGAGTAAATGAGCTCAAAAATTGGTATATAGCTCAATGGATGAGGAAGGACTGATGCCAGGCAGGCATAGGAGGCTGCAGAGAAACACCCGAAAAGCTATGGAGGTCAGAGAGAGAATTTGGGGGGGATGAGGCTGAGTTCCCAAAGGTTTAGAAACAATTCAATTTTTCCTCCGGTGCAGGAGTGAGCAATATTCTGGTCTAACATCAGTATTTTTTACCTTGTGGACCAGAGAGTTTCTGTTGCAGCTACTCAGCACTGCCCTTGGAATATTAAAGCAGCCATGTTGTTGTGAACCATAGGGTCAGAATCGACCCTCTGGTGGGTTTTCAGAGGCAGTTAATCACACAGGAGGAGATTGCCCATCCTTCTCCCTCAGAGGAGCTGATGGCCTCGAACTGTGTGCCTTCAGGATTGCAGCACAGCTTCTTGCCACTAGGCCACCAGAGCTTGCTGACATAAAGCAGCCAGTGTGTTTGTGTGTATACAAGTCAGAACTGACCCGTAATGGGTTTTCAGAGGCAATTAATCGCACAGGGAGACTGCCCACCTTTCTCCTGCAGAGCAAATGGTGGATTCAAACTGTGTGCCTTCAGGACTGCAACACAGCTGCTTGCCACTAGGCCACCAATGCAGCCAAAAACAGACACAGACGTTAGCAAATAAATGGATGTATCTGTGTACCAATAAAACTTTATTCACACTACCAGGTGAAGGGCCAGATTTGGCTCTTGGGCCACACTTTGGAACCTGCCCTCACTGCCCTGTTAATATTGTTAGGTGCATCGAGCTGGCTCTCACTCACAATGACTTTATATTTAACAAAATGTTCTGCTTAAGCCCAGACTACTGTTACCATCTCTCTGTCAATTAACCTCATGGAGAGTTTGTTTTTGTTTTTGTTTTTCACTGACCCTCTAGCACCAGGTCCATCTCCAGGATTTAGGCCTTCCTGATACCATGTCCAAGGCAAGCAAGACAAAATCTCTCCATCTTCTTTCTTGGACTGAATTCCAAGACCAATTTGTTTGCTCTTCTGGACATCTATTATGTACAATAGTCTTTGCCAATGTCTTAATTCAAATGCATCAATTCTTTGGTCTTCCTGATTCACTGTCCAGCCTTCACATGCTTATGAGGTAATCGAAAAGACCAAGGCTTTGGTCAGCGGTACCTCAGTCCTTAAAACAACACCTTTGCTTTTTTAACACTCCAGAGCAACTCTTCTGCAGCAACTCTGAGGACTCTTACTTTCCAGAGCTTAGGGGCATGCCGACCTCTCCTTGGAGGCTGTTATTTTGAAACAGCAATCAAACTCAAGAAGTTATTTTTGCAACAGCTCTGAGCTCAAGGGCGCCTCTCAGCTCTCTGTTATGGAGCAAGCCAGGCCCTGGGGGACCAGCTGAGCGGCTGAGATGAAGACAAGAGTCACTCAGCCATCCTCTTTAGAGTGGTCCTGTGCTCCTCTTGGCAAGTGAAGGCAATTAACGGCTCCAAGACTGTTCCAAGGCTTTCAGACTTTGGATATGTAGCTAGGCGAGGCTATTCTTTGGAAAGGGACATCATGCTTGGAAAGAGGGAGGCATAGCGAAGGAGAGGAAGACTCCCAATGAGATGGACTGATGCTGTGACTTCAGCAGTGGGTTCCAGTGTCTCAGAGATGAAGAAGATGGCACGGGATAAGGCAAGTTTCAGGTTGACTGTTCATAGGATTGCTATGAGTTGTACTCGAATCAACAGCACCTAACAACAACAACAACATGCTCCTCTTAGCCCATGAAGGCAATTACTCCAAGGCAGTTAATCGCACAGGGAGGATATTGCCCATCTTTCTCCCATGGAGCAGCTGGTGGATTCAAACCACGTGCCTTCAGGACTGCAGCACAGATTCTTACCACTAATGCCTCCAATGCTCCCTAAAGCAGCCACGGACATTAGTAAAGAAATAGATGTGTCTGTGTGCCAATAAAACTTTATTTACACAGTTCCTAGATTAGATTATTCTTGGAGAAATTTGGGCATAAACCAATTCAAGCCCTTTGCTTTACCACCTACTGGTTCTGAGAACTTGGGCAAGTCCTGTCACCTGTCTGAGTCTCACCTAGAAATATAGCAAGGATCATGAAGCTAGCGAGAGACCAGGCAATGTTTCATAGTAGGCCACTGTGTATCTAAGCCTTTGTTGCTACAGTAAGAAGTCTTGGTTGGGGAGCTCTGGCGGCCAAGTGGCAGAAAGCTGCACTGCAATCCCAGAGGTACATAGTTCAAATCCACCAGATGCTCTGCTGGAGGAGGGACAATCTCCTCCTGTATCAGTCGAATATGATTTGATGGTACACACACAAAGATAACACATTTTTTTTAAAAAAAGAGGTATATAAAGGAGTCTCAGTTACTCATAACTGGGAATTTTCTGTGAATTGGTGCTTATGAAAAATGGGACTAATTCTGTGAATTGGTGTTTGTGAAAAGATGAACTAATAAAGTCAGTCTTTGATAGAGTGTACACCGTATGATTCTACTTTATATAACACTTTTTTTAAAAAAAATGTGATAAAAAATAAATATAAAAAGAGCAGCAAAGGCAGTTCTGGTGGTGGTGCCCATAGGAGGCTGCACTATTAACCCAAAGGTGGTGTCTCTCTGATGGTTCGAATCCACCAAATTCTCCCCTGGAGAAAAATGGGTAAATTACTCATGCAATTCACAGCCTCCTGAAAACCCACTAGGGGGTCAACCATGCATCGGTTCTGGCTCCACGACAGTGAGTTTTTGTGTGTTTTAAGACTAGTGATAGCCAGAAGAAGCTGCATGCCACAGGAACCTGGCAGAAGAATTCAGGTATGTTCCACTAATAGAGAATGATGGGAAATTGAAAAGGCTGCACTCTGCCAAAGTTGGAAACCCAGGCAGCTCCACCATCTTGCTGCCCCCACAGTTATCACTGTGGAGTAAAATATTTTAACCGTTTGCCACGAGTCCAATTCAGTGGCATTGATTATATTCACCATACTGTGTAACCATTGGTGTTATCTGTTTCCAAATTTTCTCATCACCTTTACAGATGCCCCATGTCCCTTCAGCACTGCCCCTCCCTCTTCATCCTGTCCTTGGTAAACCAGCCCACAGCCCACTGCTTCCTTCACCTTTCCCTGCTGTCTTAATGCAAAGAAATCTTTCTTCCATAGGATTTGAACTGCTGCCCTTTTGTTTGTCAGCTGCACCACTGCTCAGCTCTGGCAATCACTAGTAATAAATTTGGGACTCTTCATTCTCCAGCTTTAGATGTTTCATATGACCACGATCATACAATATCTGTTCTTTTGTGTCTGACTTCTTTCGATGAGCATTGATGCTTTTACAAAAAGCAAAGATTGCACCTTGAGAACAACATGTATCCAAGCTAAGCCAGGGTATTTTCAATCGCTTTGTGTTCATGAGAAAGTTCAACAACGAATCAGGAAGATCGAACAAGCGTTATGCATTTGAAACGTGATGTTGGCAGAGGAGTCGGAGCAAACCATGGACTGTCAAAAGAACAAACAAATCTGGCTTAGAAGTGTAGCCAGAATGCTCCTTAGAAGTAAGATGAGGAGACTTTCCCTGATGTATTTGGATGTGTGTTATCAGGAGGAAGTCCCTGGAGAAGGACATCATGTTTGGTAAAGTAGAGAGTCAGTGGGATAGAAGAAGAAAACTCTCAGTGAGACGGATTGACACAGAGCCTCCGACAGCAGGTGCAGGATCGGACAGCGTTCATTCTGTCATAGAAGGGATCATGCTGAGTCAGGACCACAGAAGAATGCAGAGTCCTGGTGGACACAGTTAAAACACTAAGCTGCTAACAGAAGTATTGGAGGCTTGGTTCACCTAGAGGTGCTTCCGTGGAAAGGCCTGGCAACCTGCTTAAACAACAGCCATTGAAAAATCGGATGGCGCACAGCTCTAACCCAACATACATAGGTCATGACTCGGAATCCATTTAACAGCAACTGGCTTAACAAAAATTCAGATACTTCATACACTGGAAATGTAAATGAACACAGTTCATATTTTGGTTGTATGTACTGACACATTAATCATCTGCAAATGAACATTCATGATCCAGAAACAGTCTTTCTCTCCTGACAGTGAGCAGGGTGAGAACGGTTCGATCACGTTGCTCTTCCAGAAAGATCTTTCTGGAAGTTGATGTGGCAGAGGGGAGGGGTGGAGGGTGAGGTTGGAAGTGAGAGATAGGAAGCTGACCTCAGCAGGAAAAATTGGGGGACAGAGAGGTTTCCAAGTGGAGGAACTCACAAGGCTGGGAGTCCCCCTATAAGAGATAAGGCAGAGGGCAGGGACCATGGACTGAGTCACAGATGCCATTCTTACGTCCCATCTCCCACTCCGCCCCCCCAACCCCTGTGCCTCAGTTTCCATCTCAGCAGCAGGCGCAGTGTAATTGATGCTTCCCATAGAGAGATGGCCAGAGGGGGGAACCCCTCAGATGAGGGCATTAGTGTCCACTGGCTTTTGGGACAAAAGTAATTCTTGCCTGGGAACCTCCCAATTTTATCGTCAAAAAGCTTACACTCTGGCTCAGGACAGTTGGTCACCCGAGGTCATGGTCCAGTGCCAAAGCCTCACTGCAGAGGAAAGCAGGACCCATCTGAGGAGGAGGGGAAGTTCTGAAGACTAAGATTCTATCTGGATGTGGCTGAGTGACCTTGGGTGAGTGAAACAGCCTTTTTCGGAACCAGAGGCCTAGAAATGAGAATGTTTTGTTTCCAGAAATGCCGAAGGTGGGATATTGGCACACTGAGTATTTTGAGTATATGGTCAATTTCCTATCCCTGGATCATCTGTGACCTCACCTGTCCCTGACTCATGGTCCCCTGGCCTTCACCTGACCTGTGAGTCCTTTGGTCTCTCCTGACCAGCGGGTCCCCATGGCCTCACCTGACCGGTGGTAGCGGTGCCACTGCTCCTGGGTGATGAGTCCCAGCTGCCAGGCTTCCTGGGCCCCAGCACGCAGGGCAGCGGTCAGGGTGACCTCCTCGGGCCCGCGGGCCTCCCCAGCACCTGCGGCCTGCAGCACGTAGGCAGGAGGAACCGCGTTCTCGTCCTTCCGGAAGCGGCGTGCCACCAGCTCCAGTTCACGCGGCCTGGACGTCAGCTGGGCCTTCAGGGCCTCCCACTCCTTCTCCTCGATCAGTGAGGGGACCGGGCAGGGTCCGTACTGGTCACCCACCAAGGCCTGGGAGAAACGACACGGGTTCAAGTCTCAGCATGGACACCCAGCCTCTGGGCTCTCACTTTCACCCCTGAAACCTTTCTGAGGGGACTGATGGTTCAGGTGTCTGATCCTCACCTTCCACGCAGAATCCTAGCTTCGAGTCCCACCCGTTACACCCCCTGTGCACTCACCACCCACCTGTCAGTCTTGCATGTTATCATGATGCTGAACTGGTGCCAGCAGAACCTCCAGATTAGGAAGGACTAGGAAGAAAGGGACTGCAGTCTTCAGTATGGATTGAGACTCAATATCAAGAAAACAAAGATTCTCACCACTGGGCCCATTGGCAGCATCATAATGGATGGTAAAGAGATTGAGATTGTTCACAGTTTTAGTTTGCTTGGATCCACAGTCAGCACTCTTGGCACCAGCAGCCAGGAAATTAAAAGATGTGATGGAAAATTCTGTGGTAGGAGACCTCTCTAAAGTACTAAAATGCAAAGATGTCAGTCTGGAGACTAAGGAGCACCTGATAAAGGCCATGGTCTTTGCAACCACTTGTTATGCATCAGAGAGTTGGACAATGACTAGAGATGATAGAAGGAGAATTGATGCCTTTGAGCTGTGGTGTTGGAGAAGAGTATTGACTATATCATGGACTGCTAGGAAAACAAACAGGTTTGTCCTGGCGAAGGTGAAGCCGGGCTGCTCCTTGAAGGCAAGGATTCTGGGGCTTCATCTGACATACTTTGGACATGTTGCAAGGAGGGACCAGACCTTGGAGAGGGACATCATGCTTATGAGGGTGGAGGGACAGTGCAGGAGAGGAAGAACCTCAATGAGATGGATTGATTTAGTGACTGGGATAATGGGGGCAGGTGTGTTGGAGATGGTGAGATTGGCACAGGATAGGGCAGAGTTTAGGGCTGTTGTACACAGGGTCACTATGAGTTGCAGGTGACTCAACGGCACATAACAACAACAACAACAATAACAGGAAGAAAAGCCTGGCAATGAACTTCCAGAAATCACAATGAATCCTAACACTCACAAAGCTCTGATCTATAATCGACCATGAGGGTGATGCTGGACCGGGCAGCAGTCTTGTCCTCATGCAGGGATCACCGTGTGTCAGGCTCTGGCTTGATGGCAACACAAACAGAGAGCCACACCCTGCAGCTGCGGCCACAATTACATTGAGAAGTGCCATCAGAGAGTTAGCAAAGCCCCTGTGTGCAGAGGTACCAGGAGAGGGCTGTGCCACACGGGGAAGGTTTGACTCCAGCTCAGTTCCAAGTGTCACTGAGTCCTTTGAGCTGGGAAACAATGCTTTGTGATCGGATGGATAATGCACCTCTCCCAGCACAAAATATGTGGTGGTCGAATTGAAGCAGGGGACTCAGGACAGTTCCCTGAAGAAAGAAGGACTGAGTTGTGGAGTAAGACCTGAGAAAGAGTACATGGGGCAGAATACCTTGAGCAATAAGAACCCTGTGTGCAAAGGCCCTGGGCTCCCAAGTGGAGGGAGTAGCCGGTACAAAGGTCCTGGGGCAGAAAAGAGCCTGGTCAGTGCAAGAAAGCCAGTGGGGACTGAAAAACCAGCAAAGAGGGGGCAGTGAAGGGAGATAAGCTCCCCAAAGATCCCTAAGGAAGACAGACATGCGGGAGTTGGGGAGGGAATGAGGCAAGAGTAGATAGACAGATGAGGGGAAGAGCTGTCTGAAAGGAATATATGATTGTGCATTATATGCATGAGAAAAATTGAGAAGAAGAGGTGTATTGTGGGGTGGGCTGGGGCAGGAGGAGGAAGGAGGGAGAAAACGTGCAACAATGAATAAATAAAAGAGAAAAAAATTAAAAAAATACTATCCCCAAGGGTAAGATGTTACAGGTCCTGGAAGGCCCACAGAGTTTTTAGTCTTGTGACTAAGAACACTCTAAGAGCAAAATTTAAAAATCCTGTTATCATCAACTCAATTTCAACTCTTGGCACTGCTACATGTTACTACAGACTAGAACTACCTCAGGGTTTTCTTGGCTGTTAGAGGATCAGATCATCGGACCTTTCTTCCACAGCACCCCTGAGTGGGTTTGAACTGCAACTAGTAAGGCCAGAAGTCAAGAGAGCAAACTGTTGGTGGCACAGGCCCTAGTAAGGTCCTTGCACACTCAGAGCGGGAACGTGTTGCTCACCCAAAAGCCGCACCTCTCTGGTAGTTCAAATCCAGCAGCAGACCCTTGGAATGGAGGTCATCATTCCTCCTGGCATGTTCCAGAACATTTCAGGTGTGACCACTAGGGAAATCTGGAAGAGTGGGCTCTGAGGATGAGCGTGTTGGAGAGGATACTGCTTTCCAAGGACCCTTCCAGGGAAGGAGGTGGGGGAGAAGTTGACATGGGCAGCCAGCCAACCACACACAGAACAACTGGTGGTGGACTTGAACCACATGACTTTGGGATTGCAGAGCAGCTTCTTACCACTAGGCCACCAGAGCTCCAAGGCATGGGAATCCATGTGGGATCAAAGCATGGGAATCCATGCGGGATCCAGGCATTAGAAGTAGGAAGAGCTAACAAGAGGGGAGCTGAGGCACCCGCCTCCCCACCCCATCCCTGGGAGGAGCTCTCTGAGGCACTGGAGACTCGGGAGTTGCTGGTTGCCCCAGAGACGCTGAATCTCTAAAAGGAGGCACCTTGGGGACCCTCTCCTGCTGAGGCTGCCTAATGACTTATTTACCTGAAAGATGCCTCTCCGAGGCACCCAGACACTCAGGCTAGTGTGTAAAGTCCCCCCAAATGGAACTATTGACTGAGAAGGAGGATTCCCAGGTTGGGGGCGGAGTGGGGGAAGGGGAAGAAAGCAGATTCAGGAGAAAAGCAGGAAGCAGGGAGAGGTCACCAGTCAGGGGGGATTCGTCCCGATGGCCATTGTGGATGACGCTCAGCTGCACTGCTGGCCGTGCCTGGGGGAAGCTCTCCAGCCCCCTTGTGACCTGGAAGCCGTGCTGTGCTTTTTGCTGCCTTGCATTTGGGTTGCAAAATTTAATTCCTTCTGGAGTTTTTTCTCCTCTCCACCTCTCTCTCTTTCTCTCTGTGTCTCTCTCTTTCCCTGTCTTTCAATGTTTAAAACATTCTTTTTCTTTTTTTCCCCCCTTGAAACTCAACTAAACAATCATTAGATTCAGTTGGGCATTTAAATTAGAAGACTGGAAAATAATTGAGGTGGAGCACCATGAGCAGGGACGTAGAGTCTTCCTGTTGTTGGGTGCAATGGAGTCAGAACTGACTCATAGCTCACCTTCCAGCAGGTTACAGAGGCAGTAAAATCGCACCGGAGAACATTGCCCATCCTTCTCCCATGGTGCAACTGGTGGATTTGAGCCACATGACTTTGGGGTTGCAGAGCAGCTTCTTACCACTAGGCCACCAGAGCTCCAAACATTAGAACATATTTTAAAGGGGTGGTAACAAAAACAAGAGTAGCATCAACATGCAGAGGGAAGTAAAATACACACACACACACACCCGCCCCAAAGCCAAAGCTACTCCTGTCAAGTTATTTCTGACTCATTGTTACTCGTAGGTTCTGTCAAGTCAACTCTGCCTCACAGCAATCCTGTGGACAACAGATCAAAAGTTTCCCCCAAACTGAACCATCTTTATAATCTCTGTTGGGTTTAAAGCCCATTGTAACAGTCACTGTGTCAATGCATCTCACTGAGAGTCTTCTTCTCTTTTGCTGACCCTCTGCTTCTCCAAACATAAGATCTTTTCACAAAGACGAGCCCCTCCTGACAACAAGCACAGAGGATGTGAGACAAAGTTCCCCCGTCTTTGCCTTGAAGGAGCACAGTGGTTGCACTTCCTCGAAGACAGACTTGTTTGATCTTTTGTAAGTCCATAGGATATTCAATACTCTTTGTCAACACACAATTCAAAGGCATCACTTCTTCTTCAGTCTTTCTCATCCATTGTGCAACTTTGACATGCATGGGAAGGAATTGAAAAAATGTCTTGAGTCAGATGCCCCTTGGAGAAAACTTAGCTTCACCTTCATGAAACTTTCTCTCACATACTTTGGGCATGTTGTCAGCAGTTCTTGGGGGAAAGGGACCGTGCTGGGAATGGTAGAGGATCAATAAAAGAGAGAAAGACCCTCAACAAGATGGATTGGCATAATCAGGGATCATGAGGATAGTACAGGAGCGGGCAAGTTTCTGAACTATAATTAATAAGGTTGTTGAGAGTCGTAGTTGGCTCAAAGGCACCTAATAGCAGCACCTTTAAGACAAGGACCCTGGTTGTGCAGTGGTTAAGTGCTCAGTTGCTGACTGAAAGGTCAGTGGTTCAAAGCCACCAGTCACTCTGCAGAGGAAGGGTAGAACCGTCTGGAACTAAGGATGTAAAACACACACACACACACACACCCAAAAACAAATACACACATAAACCCAACCGCATCAAGAATCTGTACTATCAGTCCACAGTAATTGTCTAAATTTAATTGAGAGTTATAGGTTATTTGGGGGAGAGGGAAGGTGCATGGGGAGGAAAGACCTTAAAATGTGGAAAAATTGGCCTCATCTCGGATGAGAGAACAGGAGCCTTGGTGGCACAAGTGGTTAAACACTCACTGATAACTGAAAGGCTGGAAGTTCAAACTCACCTAGTAGCCTATTGAAGATATGATGGACTTCCAGAAGAACAAACAGATCTGTCCTTGAGAGGGTCAAACCAGGCTGTTCCTTGGAGGCAAGAATTCTGAGGCTTCATCTTACATACTTTGTGCATGTTGCAAGGAAGGACATCATGCTTGGGGAGGGTGGAGGGACAGTGCAAGAAAGGAAGACCCTTGATGAGATGGATTGACACAGTGACTGGGGTAATAAGAGTAGGTGTGTCAGAGACAATAAGGTTGGCACAGGATAGAGCATGTTTAGGGCTATCGTACATAGGGTCACTATGAGTCACAAGTGACTCAATGGCACATAACAACAACATGCTTCTATAAAGATCACAGGCAAGAAAATCCTGGCAGGCAGTTCCTCTGTGTTGTATAGCATCACTATGACTAGAAATTGACCCAACAGCAACAACAGAATGAGAAGAGACATGCACCAGAAGCAAGCTCCATGCAGGACATAAAACTTGCTAGTGATACAAGTGGACACACAAAAAAGAAATTCCCAAGACACTGGTGGAGTCCATCTTTTCTCTATGGTTTTCTAGATAGAGATACTTCTATGCTGAAATGAACTGGTTGAGGAATTTGGAGAAGGTCCTAATCAAATTCCAAAATACTGTCCAGCTTCACCATTCCATCTCCAGCTCACAGCCTACTTTCAATCAACTACTAATGTCTGGACCTCAGTCAGCTTTGCAGGAAGAGTGCTGTGATCCATTAGTGATGTCTGTCAGAATCAGGCTACAATGGCAGGGTATAAAAGCAGTGATGCCCCTAAATTTCCTCTACTGGTCCACTGGTGATGGAAAGAGGTAAGAGCTAATGTGCCCCTCCTGAGAGACTCACCACAAAAGCTGGTCCAACTGATGTTTTTCGACACCGCTCAAGCTCCTCCAGGCAGAGTTCTGTGGTCATGTAGTCAGTGGCCTCAGAGTTCCGAATGCCCCACCTCAGATCAACAACCTGGGGGTCAAAAGCCATGGCAAACACATAAAGTTTCATTATTATGAACTGTAGAGTCAGAACCAACCCATAGCTGACCCTCCAGTGGGTTTTCAGAGGCAGTTAATTGCACAGGAGGAGATCACCCATCCTTCTGCAGAACACCTCAATCATGTGCTTTTGGGATTTTTTTCATTTGCTTCTTTATTGAGTTAAAGTTTATAAATCATATTGATTTTCATTCACTCATTCATACTAATTTTGTTTTATAAGATTCATTACAATTGATTAGTATAATTAACTACAATGTCTCATCAAACTCAATGTCTCTTTTTTACAACCTCTCCTAAAATAGATACACCTTGTTTGAAGGAATCTGAACAAAACCTATAACTTCAGTGCAAACAGTGAACATAACTTCAGCGTAACCATAAGAAAAACACAAGGTAGACTCAGACTGGAGGTCATTCTGCAGGAACCGAGGACACTTTTCCTTATAATGGTCAAGATTGTCGCCACAAGAACTATCACAGACCAGAGAGAAGGGAGGAGACAGGGCCACTAAATGCAGTGAGTGCTCTGCATGGAGTCTCACACCTGAAAGAGGACAGGGATGGGGGAAAACACACCAATGACTCAACAATAAAAACCCTCATTCCTATCAAGTTGGAACCAACTCATAGCTGACCCTCCAGTGGGTTTTGGGGAGGGTAAAAATTGCAGAGGAGGAGATTTTTCATAGGAGTATTTTGTGGATTTGAATTGCCAGATGTGGCTGCCTTTGGGTTAACCACTCTTTACAGACCACCTCACCAGAAGTTCCTAAATATAGTTTAGAGTTTAGTTATTGGTACTGTAACCTCACTCTAGCCTAGTCCCAGGGTGAAGTGAGTTCTTTTATGTTGCCTTGTGCTTTGAATTTTAGAAAAACATTTTGAGATATTTTCCCCCCTTATCACTGAACAATTATCTTTGTCCTAGTTTTCTATCCTAGCTAATGTGTTACTTTTGTTTCTGTTGATTGACATTTCTTAGAAAGCTGCAAGTAACTTGTGATTTGATACTTTTTTGTCTGGCCTCAGCCTACCCTGTGATTTGTAGGCATCTTTCAGGGATTGGCCAAGATACTATGTAAAGAAAGTTGACTATGGGCTATGGAAATGAAGTTACTATAGCCTACAATTCAAATGAAGTATCTGTGGCCTACTGCAAGAGAATTAGTCAGTTTGTGGCTCTGTTGGGAAGGCTGTGTTTTGAAATTGATGAAGAGTCTGTACATAAATGTGGCCAAAACCCCAAAGAGATTTTTAAAATAGGAAAAAGAAGGGGAAGGAAGGAAGGAAGAAGCAGACAGAGAGGAGGCAAGAACCTCCCAGAAGAACCATAACATGGGTCCAGGTCTATCATACTGAAGACCTGAAAAGGACCTGCAAAGTTCCTTGGATCAGTAATGACATATAACAACATCAACCGGAGCCTATCATGAGGGATATGAGGGGATACCTGAATGACCAAGATAGAAAGAAGGTGCTGCTTGTTTTCATGGTTAAGAGGAGCTAAAACTGGCCCTGCCCTGAAGAAATGGAGATATGCTCTCTTCAGGAGAACTGCCAAGATTTTACTTACAGCTTCCTATTGCTTTCTTAAATCACTTAACAGTAAGCATGGTCTGTGAGTTCTGTGTGGCCATTATAATGGTTTATTGAGCCCAGTGGAGAAGTAGAGAGTGCCATGGGGGAAATAACTGGTGTCAGAATTGGTGAAAAGGTGGAGAGCAGAGTTGTCTGACCTCTATCTCGTAGGAATCAGCCTCAGACTGCTCTTGATTTGCATTATCCTCCCTGAAGTTAGGCATATTCTGACCCCACTCCAACTACCACTATATCATAGTTAGGTATTGTTGAGTAGAAACAACTCATAAAAGATCCTCCAGTAGATTTTCGGAGGCTGTAAATATGTGAACCAGCATTCGAACTGCATGCCTTTGGGTTGGCAGTGCAACACCTTATCTACTAAACCACCAGAGTACCACTTTATACTCCTCTCAAAACTTTTTTATTATTAATTTCAATGAAAATTTACAGAGACTTTGGATTTCCATTCACGCATTGTTGCACTTTTCTTCCCTCCCAACCCTCCCCCTCAGTATACTCTCCTCTTAGAAAAAGTAAAAGAAAAGTTCTTTCATTGTTTTACAATCCCTCCCCCCAGGTCCACTCCACTATGCAGCCTTCATTCTAGACTCACGTCATGACAAAAATACCTAATCACATATCCCTTTTAAACAGTTTTCTCCCTCATCTGTTATTGAACCCATCTTTCTCAGTCTTCCCACAACCCTGATGTCAGTCCTGTTTTACAACAGTGGAACTATGCAGTATTTGTCCATTTGTGACTGAGATACTTCACTCAGCATAATGTCTCAAAAATAGTTTTTAAATAGCAGTAATGTTGTTGTTTATAGTTGCTGTCTAGCTGACTGACTCATGACAACTCCATACATGCAGGGTATAACTGTGTCTTATAGGGATTTTATTTATGGCCATTACCTTTTGGAAGCAGGTTGCCAGGCCTTTCTTCCACGGTACCATTGGATGGATTTGAACAGCTAACCTTTTAGTTAATGACTGAGCATTTACCTGTGCTGTTCAGAGATTCCAAACAGCAAGGTAATACAGTTAGATTCTTGACTGAGGCCAATGTACTGTGGTCATCTAAGATGTTCCTATTAGAGGAAGCCGAGTGTTGGGTATACAGGGACTCTTTGTACCATTTGGTCAACTTCTCTACATTGAAAATGATTCCCAAAGAAAAAGTTTATCTCAAAACAAAATTCTAAACGTTTTTTTGGAAGAACTTGACTATTTCTCAGTGTTCTTTTAAAATGAGGACATGTCCACACTTGTTCCCAGAGCTGTCTTTGCAAAGGGGAGTGTTTTGCTGGGCAGAGTGGACTAAGCAGTGTTTCTGTGGCAACCGCACGCTTGAAGTCCATTTCTCCCTGCTGGCCAGAGAGGGAACTGGGCAGAATGGCTTGATTCAAGAAAGCAGAGCTGACCTTGTAGAAGGTTGGAATGAAAGAGAAACAAAGAGAACACAGAATGGTCCCTGCCTCCCTGAATTCTTCAGCCCAGAGAGAAAGGCACATACATTCCCAGACCATATAAGGGACAAAAGGGTGTTAGTACTGACCGTGGCTGGAGGGAGAAAAGGAACGGACAGCTAGTTGTGTGATCAGAGAAGGAAGAAGGGTCAGCACCAGCCTCAGGCAAGATCGCTGGTCTCCCCTTCTACACAGCGAGGATGTCTTAACTATCTGCAGCCTCATCTCATTTCATGTAGACATGAAAGAGTGTGTCAGATATTTCACCAGCTCTCAGGGTGTATGTTTCTTCTATTTGCAAAGCCAGCTGTACTGAGTTGACCCTGACTCATAGTGTTCCCACCCACGTCGGAAGGAACTGTGCCCCAGATGGGGTTTTCTTGGCTGTGATCTTTATGAAAACTGATTGCCAGGACTCTCTTCTGTGCTGCCTCTGGATGAGTTCATCAAACTTTCTGTTAGTAGCTATGCACTTAAGCATCTGTCACCCTGGGACCTTTTGTTGTTGTTGTTGTTACGGTTGTGTACAATTAAGTCAGAACTAACCCATAGCTGACCTTCCAGTGGGTTTTCAGAGACAGCTAATCACCTAGAGGGGAGACTGCCCATCTTTCTCCTGTGGAGCAGCTGGTGGATTTGAACCATGTGCCTTTGGGGTTGCAGCACATTTTTTTTTACAAGTAGCCAACCAGAGCTCCCTTTCTAGGACCTCTGAAATGGAGTTGTCTGCTGACCAGGGTCACCCCTTGAGTCCATCTGTCAGTAGGCGGACTGTGGTGGCTTGGATGATGCTGTGATGCCGGAAGCTGTCACCGGTGTTCAAATACCACCAGGGCACTGACGACGGACAGTTTCATGAAGTTTCAGGACTAAAACAGATGAGGAAGCAAGGCCTGGTGATCAACTTCTAAAAGTTAGCCAGTGGAAACCCTATGGATCACAACCGTTCAATTCATAACACATGGTTGGTGTGGAACCAACAGCATTTCATTTTGGGGGACAAAGAGGGGTGCAGGGATAAGAGTTGTAATGAGTTGGAGCTGACCTCCCAGCAGTTAACAACAACAATCAGAGTGGAGCTGATATTCCAGCCCAGTTTACATCTTCGTCTTTGTTATGGATTGAATCGTATTTTCTCAATTATGTGTTGGACTCCTAACCCCATCCCCTTGGAAGTAAGCCTGTCTGGGAATAGAGACTTCGTTGTTATATTAATGAGGCTCTATCAGTGTTGTTGTTAGCTGCCATCAAGTCAACGAAGACTCACAGCAACCCTACAGACAACAGATAGGAGCCTTGCTTTGTCCCCCGTGCTCACGGTCTCTGCCATCCTTGGCACCATTGTTACACTCACTGTGTCAATCCATCTTGTTGAGGGCCTTCCTCTCTGAGTCCGACCCACCACCTTTCCCAGCGTGAATGTCTTTTCCCAAGGACCAGCCCCTTCTGACAACATGCCCCGAGTATGGAAGGTGAAGTTTCACTATCCTTGCCTCTAAGGAGCAATCTTGTTGCACTTGCTCCAAGACGGATATGTTAGCTAGTTCTTTTGTCAGTCCATGGAATGCTTCATATTCTGAGAACACCACAATTCAAAGGCATTAATAATTATCCTTCCATTATCCTTCCAATTATCCTTCCACCTTCCCATTCATTGTCCAGTTTTCAGAGGCATATGAAACAACTGAAAACATGATAGTTTGGATCAGTTTATAGAATATCAGTGTAGAGTGAATCATAAACCTAATCGCTTCTGAATTAAGAGAGTAGATCAGAGACAGATGCAGACTTGGCAGGCAGGGGTGGGGAGTTGGTGAGACACAATCTAGTTGGTAACAGAGGTGGTAGGTAGATGGGTTCACAGCCCACGAACACCAAGGATTGCTGGCACCAACAGGTCTGTCCTGGAGACGATGAAAGGAAGCTGCTCATTGGAGGAAAGGATTTTGAAGCTCTGTCTCACATAGCTTTGGCGTGTTGCCAGGAGGGACCAGTCCTTAAAGAGGGACATCATGCTTGGAAGGGTGGAGGGACAATGCAAGAGGGAAAACCCAAATGAGATGGATTGACACAGTGACTGGGGAATAGGAGCAGGTGTGTCAGAGACTGTGAGATTGGCTCAGGATAGGACAGGGGTCAGAGTTATTGTATACAAGGTCGCCATGAGTCGCAGGCAACTTGATGGCATGTAACAACAACAATTAGCAATAGAAACAGACAAGTAAAGCCTTATCCCTAGATCCTCATCCAGAATTTGGATTTGTAGCCTCCAGAAGCATAAAGAAATTAATTTTTGTTCTTTAAAAGCATCTACTTTGCTTTATAAATATTCACTCCAAACACAATTTTTAAAAAGAAAAATGAATAAAGATCTCCATTTGTTGTATTTCTATGATAATAGCATCAAAGAGCAAGCAGTGTCAGATTATCCGATCAACCCGGGCTTTCTAGTGTTTATTAATAAACAATTTCACTTTTCCCCTCAGCACACCCGAGACTCTACCTCTAAGTATGGCTGGCCTCTCCTAACCCAAAGCACCTTCCTACAGAACCAAAGCCTCTTGCCAAATCTACAGACAAACTTCTGTTTGTGGAGAACAAGCAAGACAAGCCTCTGCAGTGAGCAGTTGCACACGGTTTTCACCACATCAAAGATCAAGGATGAGAAATGGTTCATCACAGATTTGTAAACAAGCAAAGTAATTATCTTACTCATTGGGTAACCCACTCCCGGTAATTAAGGAGGGTCAGTGGGGAATGTTTTGCCATCTGTGTAGGAGATCTGTGTTTGACTCCTAGCCAGTAAACCTCACGCACAGCCACTGCCTGCCTGTCAGCGGGATTTACATCCTGCAGAGGAAAGGATTATGAAGCTCTACCTCACATACTTTGATCACACTGCCAGGAGGGACCAGTCCTTGAAGAAGGAAATCATATTTGGAAGGGTGGAGGGACAACACAGGAGAGGAAGATCCTGGGGGAGATGAATTGACACAGTAGCTAGGGTTATGGGGGCAGGTGTGACAGAGATAGTAGGATTGGCTCACGAGGGAGCAGAGTTCAGAGCTATTCTGCATAGGGTCACTATTTGTTGCAGGCAACTTGACAGCACATAATAACAATAACACAACATAATGCTGCAGGGGGTAGAGGGAGGTTGCTAGAAAGCAAGAATGTCAGTTTAAAGACTAAGGTGCGCCTGGTCCAAGCCATGCAATTGCTTCATATGCATCTGGAAGCTGGACAATAAATACAGAAGACTGAAGAATGGGTGCCTTTGCACTGTGGTGTTGGGGAAGAGAAGTGACTATCCCACGGACTGACAAAAGAACAAACGAATCTGCTTTGGAGGAAGTGCAGTCAGAGTGCTCCTTAGAGGCAAGGATTTTGGAACTTTGTCTCTTTTTTTGGGTCATGTTGTTAGAAGGGGCTGGTCGTTGAAAAAAGGACATCATGCTGGGGAAAGTGGATGGTCAGAGGAAGAGAGGAGGACCCTCAACAAGATGGATTGTTGAGAGACTGTAACAATGGGCTTTAGGTTATCGGAGATGAGCATGGCACAGGATAGGGCAGGTTTCAGATCTTGTGCTGTTCATAGGGTCAATGTAAATTGTAGTCAATTTGATGGCGCCTAACATTAACATAATTCTGAACATGGTGTCTTGGCATTTCTAGACTCAAATAGATTAGGAAGAAAGACTGGACAATCAGCTTCCCAAAACCAGACAATGAAAACCCTGTGGATAAGAATGGTCCTGTCTCAACCACTTCCAGGGGTGAGCAACCTTTTTTTCTGTTGTCATGGGGTCTCCATGAGTCAGGGCCAATTTAATGGCAACAATCATAAATGTAAAAAAAAGATGCAAGCCCCTATTCAAAAATCGTTTTGAAGACAGAGAGAGCATTAAATCAGCATAGTTCCAGATACCCGTGAGGCTGGGCCTGCCTATCACACTCCTACTTCCATTTTGTTGTTATCGAGTGCCTGTAAATACATTTTGACATGGTGACCCCATGCGACAGAGTAGAAGCTGCTTCCCAGGGTTCTCATGACTATTTATAGTTTATTGCCAAGTCTTTCTTCTGCAGCACCAATGGGTGGGTCGAAACCAAGAGCCTTTCTGTTAGCAGGTGATCACACATACCCATTGTTTTACTAGGGCTCCTGGCTTGCATTTTAAGGCAGGGAAACTGAGGCCAAGAGGAGAGGAAGATGCTGACCTCAAACATCAATCCGTGCTTGTGGCAGAAGGTTTGCACTTCAGGGTAGGCGGTGTTCTGCAGGGCTTCCCTCTCTGCGTCCATATCTGCAAGGAACACCAGCAAGGCTGTTAGTTCAAGGCGCCCAAAATGTTTCCTTTCCCTAGCTCTATGTTTAGCCTCCTTCCCCACCACTGAGCTGGGCCTTGACAGGGAATTTAAAGACACAATACACCTAGAAGACCAGGTATCCTGTTTTCTGATGTGTCTATGAAAACTCTGCATCCTTAGGAAGCTAGTTAGTTGTGGATCAACCAGAATGTTAGGTTATTGTGGGTTAAAGCTTACCTAACCTAATACAATGAGTTATCTCATTGTTGTTGCTGTTAAATGCCATCGAGTCGCAGGCTACTCATAGCAACCCTATGAACTTTCTTTTTTTTTTTTCCCTATGAACTTTCTTTGTTTCTCCAAGTTCATAACGTTTCCAGAGGCAAGCTATTTTCAGAAGTGGATGTGACTCCTGCTTCCAAGCTTGTTTTAATCAGGGAGCTCCACCCAACACTGTCCACCACGGGTAACCAATATCACATTTGGTACATGAGGGTCACAGTGTTCAGCATCACAGCCACCACGAGTTATAGCTTGCCTCTGGAAACCCTATGAACTTGGAGAAACGAACAAAGTTCATAGGGTCGCTATGAGTTGCCTACAACTCTACGGCATTTAACAACAACAACAAAGAGCTCAGTTGGCCTAATGGACAGAAAGTGTTGCTACCAAGCCAAAGGTGGGTAATTTTAATCTGCGTCCCTCGGGCCTGTTTTTAATTGTTTTTGGTCAAATATTCTTCTAGGTGGTATAGCACTGGTCTGTCGATTTGCTGTACAGAGGTAACTCGTGGTTGCTGTGATGCTGAACACTGTAACCCTGACGTGTCAAATGAAATATTGGTCACCCATGGTGGACAGTGTTTGGGGGAGCTCCCCGATTAAAACAAGGTTGGAAGCAGGAGTGGCATCCACTTCCGAAATAGCTTGCCTCCGGAAACCCTATGAACTTGGAGAAACAAAGAAAGTTCATTAGGTCATTATGAGTTACCTACAATTTGACAGCACATAACAACAACAACAACAATCACCTAATAAAATACCTTAATACCCAGTTACACTTGCATTCAGATAAAGAGTATTTTTTCTTAATATAAATATATTCTATTCTAGATCACATTCTAGGTCACAAGGCAAGCATCAGTAGATTCAAAAA